CTTCATTTCTCTCCTTTTTTCATTTTTTCTCTCCCTCAATCTACCGTTTCTTTCTCTTAATATCTCCAAAAAATTTACGCAAATTTCCCCCTATTGTCCTTTGCCCACTGAAATTTTCCCTCACTTTCCTGCTTTTTCCTCCATAGATTTTGACGGTCGGTCCAGCCGTCTAGGGAAGGCGTTGGGAGGGAGGGAGGGAGGGAAAACTTAACGCACTAGAGTTGAGTTGAGTGCATTTATGTTGGCCAGTAATATATAGGGGATTTAAAACAGTTGATTCGAGCGGAAGAAGAACTCGGTTAAATAAAATGTTAAAAGTTTTGTGAATAAAAAATACGCATAAGAAAGGATTTTTTTATGAATCCAATATGATTTAATTTTGTATTAATTAAGATTTATTATACTTTTATATACACAAAGGTTAATAAAAATAGGGAATAATAACTATTTTTCGCATCTCTTAAAGATGATTTTATTTTTTAAAAATTAAAAAAAATTATTTTAAAATTATGTTGGTTTAATAAATTTTTATTAAAAAAATTAAAATATTATATTTTTAAAATATAAATAAAATATTTTTTATTATTTTTATAATACTTTATTAAAATTATATAATTTTAAAATAATTTTTTTTAATTTTTAAAAAATAAAATGAATAAATATTAATTTTATAATATATATATGTGTAGGGTACTTCAACTTTCCCAAAAGTACGTAACTGGCAATGTATGGTGACACTTTGTGGCTCTGGGCAGACAGACATTACAGCCACCAATGAGCGGCTATCTTGGGGAAGCACATTCGCATGTAAGCCTTGGATTTGATATAATGGCATAATGAATTGTTGAACATCAGTGTATTTTCAAACCTTTTTCCACTTATATTAGAATTTAAATTTCAGAGTTTTAACATGTAATTTTATTTGTAATGACACATTGATAATGTAATAAATTTATAATATTTTAATAAAAAAGAGTCAAATGCTTTTATTTAAAGTATTCATAGTCATACAATTATCTTGATCCAAAATTAAGAAGAATTGTTAAAACAAGTTTATAAATTTTAAAAATTAAGTCTTGATTTAAATAGATAAAATTTTTTTTCACTTAAAATATAAATTATCAAGAGACTTTAAATAAATTAAAAAATTAAAAAATCCTTTCAAATTAATAAATTTTCAATTTGTAACCGTTCTAGATCATATATACTACAACAATTAGGAGTATAAAAATTGAAAACTACAATATTTGGAGATATTATCGGAAAGATACAAATACGTAAGGAATAAAAAACTTAAGTCACGGGTTTGAGCTAGGGGCCTGAGGCCCTAGGCCCCCTAAAAAATATAAAAGATTTTCTTTAAGTTTAATTATAAAATAACAAATTACAGTACATATATGTTAATTATTAGGTAAAAAGGACGAACCTAAACTTACTTGTCACTTATAACATAATTGATTATCTAAATCCATAGTTTTTTCTCCCAATTCAACATATAA